TTGAATAGCTTCAATTTTATCGTTTGAGTGGGAATTATCGTTTGGGTGAGGCAGACCAACACGCCGAACAGGCGGGTGGGGCTGCTGACCTAAGAGACGGATATACAGTTCCGCCATTTAGTTTGCATAATTTGGCTGCGGGACAACCCAACCATGGTTCACCCTCCATACAAAAATATATATAATTTGCAACACATGAGGTTTTATATTGATTTGAGAATATATATATTAAAAAGTAATGACCAAAAAATATAAAAATATGCAAAAAAAGCAGAAAAGTCGCTTAATATTTTATATACCACCCTTTTGCCTCCAGAACTGCCTTAACACGATCTTTCATGCTTCTTATTATTGCACGTAGAATATCTTGACTGATCAATGTCCATGACTGCTCTAAAGCCTTCCATAAAACTTCCTCCTTCTTATTATTCGATCCCTTGCAGTTTTCTATATCCGGGTTCAAGTCGTAGACGCCTTCTTTAAGTGGAAACCACATGTGTTCAATGGGGTTCAGATCAGGCGAATATGGTGGCCATTCCATACAAGGAATTGCATTATCTTGCAACCATTCTTCAATCTTTTTAGCTGAATGAATGGAGGCATTATCATACATGAAAATAAGACCTGGTTCCCAAATAGTAGGCAGTAATTCCTTCAATAGAGTAAGATAGAAGCGTGCAGTGTAGCCATATTTTTTAGCTTCAAAATCACGCTCTAAACGGATGAGATCACTGCGATTTTTGCCCCAAATAGCTGCCCAGACAATTACACGGATAGCCTTGCCCTTCTTATATGGCTGAATATATTCCTTTTTCCATTTTTCTCCATGTAGATTAAGGCGAAACACATATTTATGGCGTTGGCCAGATCCAAGTTCAACCGAGCATTCATCTGACCATATAATCTTGTTCCAATCAATGTCTGTATAATCCTTATACTTCAAAGCCCAATTATACCGTAGTCTCGCTACTTCCGGTGTTAATTTCGGACGCTTTTGAGCACGCCATTTGCCATATCCAGTCTCTTGAAGTATGTTATACAATGTAGAGCGACAAATTGCTAAATGAAGCGTATTTTGGATCTCTTGATAGGTAAGAAAGGGATTTCTTTTGATTATTCAAATCAGCGAGCGTTTGTCTCTATCCATGTAAGATTTTGGACGACCAGGGCGTGGATGGGTTTTAAAATTTTGTCTTGAAGATGCTCGGTTCAGTGTAGTATAAATGGTTTGGAGGGATCGATTCAAAAGCCTTGCAATTTCAGTGGATTTTTTACCACCTTCATAAAGTCCTTGTATATAAGCTCGTTCGGTTGGATCCAGCTGTCGATTACGCTCAATATTAGCACTTAAAGGGCTCAAAGGGACCCTTCTAGGTGTCATGGTGGGTGTATGAGAAGATGAGGTTTTTTGACGCGTTGGTTGACGCGACCGGGTGCTTAGCGCGATTATTCAAACTTTTTACTAAGAACTATAAGCACTACTAAAACACCACTCTTGGGCCTTATCCGTGACGCTATACCTCCCTTCCCTAGGGGCTTGGCCTCAAGCCCTCACGCCTTTTTGAGCCCTAACAGTAGTACCAAATATATCCGGGCCCCAAGGTTTTCCTAAGCATGCAAGCCAGCAAAAAGCCTTGCGAGCGAACTAAACCAACTGGTATAGTATCTAGAGGCCCACCAGCGCAGGTTCAGCGAGCAGCCAGAAGATGGTGGTAAGCCTAGAGGGCTTTCTACCGAAGCATTAGGGAAAGCACACCGTAACGCCCCACGTATTCATACTATCTGCTCTTTCTTGGCTCCAATCAAATGAAAAGCCCGACGGTGAGCCTGCTCTGCATTGTCGAACGCAGCATAAAGATCCTTAATTACCTGCGCCGCACGAACGAGACTCGCCTCCGGGAAGACACCGTATAGCCCCTGTTCCTCGCTCCAAAACTCATGGATCCAATCGATCATCTGGATGAGGTCTTTGGCATTTCCAATCATCAACCCCGCAGTCTAGCCGAATCAGTATTGTAATCAGATCTAATCGGGGAGGCAACCTCCTTACCTGCTCACAGACAGCATTCCTATTACTGCACTGTTCACAAAGGGCCGAAGCCACAGCATCAAAGTGGCAGTCCACTTCAAAAAGCAGCCCGTCTGTAGGCTCATATGCCTTGATGCTAGTGGGGAAACAATGTATACAGAAACAAAAACGAGGATATAAAGGACAATCACCCCAGGGATCGATCTATTACAGCCGACTATTAGATTTATTACTATTTATTCCCATCTACTATCTGTATTGCCCAAAAAATTATTATAAAAATCTAGAATAGGCTTGTTGGGTGCCTTTTGATTATTGTAGTAAAGATGATCCCCCCGAGTCATGAAGACAGGAAGGTGCTAACGTCTACGTACAATGAAGGCGGTCAAGTCATGGGGGCAGAAAAGGGGAAGCCGTAACAAGGCTGCTCCCAACATTGGGGTTGCTTTTGTGGAGATATTTATTAAATACGATAAGGCAGTCTTTGTTTTCTAAAGACGTGTAAGTATAAATATATTAATACTGTACAGTTGTATTGACAATAATCGCTTATTAGAGTATAAATTTTACAAAAAGAAAAAGCCAGGAGAAGCTGTCCGCGATTAGTATTATATATAAAATAGTAATCGAAAAGTAAAAAGCTTAAGAAGAGAAAGATAAGAAAAGAAAAATAGTTAAACACCTGCACTTAAAAAAAAAAAAATTTTAACGTATATAAATCATTAATACGTGTAGTACCGTCACAGTCTACTAGATATTAAATATAGGTGTCAAGGATATCTACTAATCAGGGTAGAAGACCTGTCAACTAGGTTAAGGATACAAAGGCTAAAGCAGGTGGGAATATCCAAGGCAGGCAGTAGATACTATTCAGACAGGTGACTGATTCTTGACCTCCTACTACTACTAACCGTTCACAACTTTATAGCTGGAGGTTCAACACCTAAAGGGTGTTACACCCGGGGCTTCGTCCTAGAGCTCCGCGTACCAGTAAGTGCGGCTTGGATAGAACAACTAACCTGGAGACCAGAATCCACTGGGGTCCAACGATGATGCTAACGAGATACGACGGGGTGACCACTAAGGTCCGAAGGGTTCACTAAGGTACTGTCACGAAGTAATAACTCAAGGTCAAAGGGCCAGGTCTACCAAGTATGTATACTCAGTAGTTAAGAGAGTGCAAATGAGTCGATACTGGTAAACCAAATGTAGGTCTTAAGTAACAGTTGCATTGATCGCGAATAACTAAACTAAACACATGAATGAGCGTCCTTATATACCTGCTGCTTCGTCTACTCCTCGTATACTCCTGGGGTCACTTCTGGGGTAGCTGGTGCACTGATTGGCGGTGGCTGAATATACTCCTGATATACTCCTGGAGTAGACGCTGGAGTTGTTGGAGCACACGAACGTCCCACGCCGCCTGCCCTAGGACCCAATACACAAGCATCCATCGCTTCCCACAGGAGTAGATTATCACGTGATCCAGGTGATCCTCTGTTTTGCCGTTTGTCCCTTTACCGCTTATTGTCATCCTGTCGTTTTCTGCCTTGCGTGTCCGCCCTTAGATAAGGTACGCTAGACAAGGTGCCTGTAAAGGGTTCTGGATCTCCGTTGAAATCCTAACCATTGGGTGGTCCGATATTCCTCATCGGTAGCCGATTTGTTCATGCACAAGGTTCAGGGTATACTGTACCAGTCACCAGGCCGAATCGCTATTCGATCCGTGACAATAGGATTTTAGTGACTCTCAATATTATTGTGCCATAACGTAAAAGCTCCTAAACTATGGCTCCACTTACAGGGAGCTAGTGTCTATAGGCTTACCTAGTAAAAGAGAGGTCGCCCTCTTAAGAAACCGACACCCCAGAAACAGCGCGCTATAGAAGATCTACTGTCTGCTCCTGTTTCTAAATAATAGGTAAGCTTCTCTTTAGATGAATCTGTGACTACCTTCCAGCAAGCCTTTGCCCCTGTAATAAAATCTCTAGAGTAAAGGCCGACACTTTACTTTCTCTGCCTGGGTAGAACCCACCTTCTATTAATCCAGTGACTGAAGGATTATAGTACCCCTGGGTCTCCCATGCGACACTTTAGGGACAAGCATATCAAGCGTTTCCCGCAGGATATGTGTGTAGAATGTGGCGTCTGTGGTACCACCTTGGAGCACAAGGCGGACTTGAAGTTGCATGCAGAAGAAGTACTCCATTTAATGCTGTGATGGTTAGCAGGCGACCGAAAATGGCTACTTCTGCGGCCGTTTTACGAGTCTTGCTAACCAACATCTGCCATGGTATCACGTGAGTCAATTTCGCTGCTCTCCATGCAGGGCCACGATTTTTGATACCTGATGCCAGCTCAACTGCTTGCTCATCACCAGTATTTTTAGTATCCCTGTTCCAGGAGGCTGATTTCTTTGCAGCCTGGGTAGTTTGGATCTTGGGCTATCAGTAATGGTGTTGCATCCAATGAAGCTATTAGTAAAAGAGTTTAATGATGTGAAAATAGACTTGCAAAATCGAACCTCATGGAATAGACCTGTGTAGTACGGAGCGACAAGGCCTGGGATGAATTTAACAGAGAATGGATAATACGCCGCTAATTATTATGAAAATCTGGTATACATATACTTACTCTTAATTTCTAGTCCCCTCCATCCGTAAACGCCAGCAAAGCACGCCAGAACTCATTCTGAATAAGAATTTAGAATGAAAATACACTAGGAGTTGATGCGTGCACCTGAAGTCCTTTCCTGGAAGCCCATTTGCACTTTCTTACCTCCACAGATATTAACGGGTATGATCGGCCTAGGCTTCTTCCTAGGACTCCCAGATTCAACACGTACGTCATTTCCACGTACTTTGCTCTTTATTAGTAGGTCACATCGCTCATCAATTAGCTCGTCCTCGAGAATAGCATATTGTGCATATTTGTCAATTGGAGGCCGTAGGGGATGCAGCGCAATAATCCAATGTGACTCTGTGAAAAGTTGACGAATCCAGTTCTCATTCACTTTCATCATATCAAAATTCCATGCACTACTTTTGATGCACAGGCCTCGAATGTTCAGTAAAGAATTCTCGGCTTGACAGATTGGATAAACTCGACCTCCGAATGTACGAGTTTCCCAAGCAGTGCCGGCCTCGCGGCAGGTTACACCAGGAGGTGTCTCAAATGGCTCGTTATCAGAACATAGTTGACCAGCTCGAATGCTACGGAACTCCAATACATGGGCTAGTTCATGCCCCAGTAAAACTGCCAGAAAGACTAGACCTGCTAGTTTCTGATTGTGGGTTGAAGTCAAATCCTTCAAGAGTCGAATAATATTGTAGTCCAAGGTTATCAGATCTGACATTGCCTTGGGGCACAGTGTTGTCTCTGCAAATGGGGAAGAATTTGGGTGCATATCAGGATCAAAATCAATGTCAGGAATGGCATTTTTGATGCATCCAATAGTCTCATCCCTTGATAATTCCAGCTCCACATCAGCATCAAGCCATATATCCGGGAGGCCTGAGTGTCGACGCCGAACGAAGATGCCAAAAGATTCCCAGCGTTGAATTATAATTCGTGACATAAGGAGAAGCGCCGGTTGAATTAGTGTATAGGCATTGCGCGCGGCAGGAGTATCTCTTTCACGAAACATTGGAAATTTCGATCTCGGGAAAAGATTCTCGTTTTGTAGATTACAAAAGCTGGACGGGTAGTTTTCGTAATCCTCCATGACAAAGTCTTCATCAGCGAAGCCCCAAGGGCTGCCATCTGTATGCGTAGTAGCCATAGTGTGGGATTCAAAACTGTAACATTTAAGGTAGCAGCTTGCGCTTGCTTGTGCTTATAAAGGTGCTGTGTACAGGAGTCTTGTAGGCAGAAATGGTAGGAGCCAACAGGACCGCGTAAGTATCATTGTCCTGAAAGAGCGAAATGAATTCCTATTACCTCAGCTCCCTCAGATGTGTCAGGTGATATTAGGAGCTAGTCCCAACAAAGAAGGCGGTCTAATTAGAGTCACATATCGGAGTTGATGAGAGGGAAATGTCCAATCTGAAGGGTTCGCTTGAGGAGGTGAAGAAAAGAAAGAGAAAGAGGAAGGGAAAGTGAGTGTCATTTATTTGTGCGCGGGGTTTTTTAGATCAAGGCGTGCTGAAGTGGGTAAAAGCGGCCACTAGAGCGAAAATACCCCCGAACAGGAAGCTAAATCTTCGTGCCGGGTAGGCGTTCGGTGGCAGCAGAGCCGCGGTTCAACGGCCGTTCGCGGTTTCCCCACTAACAGTGTCAACCGATATTCCCGGACCGGTTTATCCTTGTTCCGGTAGTGTCACATATCCCACGGCTCGTCGCTGGTTCATTGGCTGGCAGCGGTGTCTCCCTGACAAATATATTCACTCGAAAAGAAATCACACTAATTAATTAATTTAGGGCTAGAAGCCATTTAGTGAGGGACTTTGTATTAGTAAAACTCTCTATGGCAGTGATACACGTCATTTACTGCTCATAAAGTAGATCTTAATCGTGAATTTAGAGGCTTTGTGATGTTCTATGCTCTCAATTAATTCAAGGGGTGGGCTTGGCGCTATAAGTTTTAGTTAACCTGCTGTTCGAAGTGTAAGTTAGTCAGCTTGGCGGGCAGCTTAGCTAAGTGAATCATGGATTCGCTCCGGAATTGATCCCGGATTGCTCCGGCGCACTGGCTTAATGCTCCGGGAGCACTCAGCACACGCACTTCTGTCTTGCCCCACGCTCCGGGATCAATCACTGAGCAAAAAGCGGCCCTGAGCTAGTCCCGTTCCGGAAAGGGAAAGTCGCAAAGTTTCCGCAGAAAAACAGTTCGCTAGTCATGTAATATCACGCATATTTCCAGTATGGGCCTTCTTCTTTCAAGGATGGATTCCAATGTTTCTTTCGTGAGCAGTTGAGCTCCGGGTGATAGCGCCGTGGTTCTGATCTATAACCCATCAAGAGTCGTAGATGCAGGTTTATAATGAATCAAAAAGAAAAAAAAGAAAAGAAAAGAAAAAGTGTCGAAGGAAAGAAAGAGAGATTAAAAACACGGGTGGGGAATTTAACACAAGGAAAAGAAAGAAAGAAAAGAAATGAAAAATGATGAACATGAAGAGAATCCTGGACGCGTCCCAATGCTGAGAGAAAAGAAAATCAAGTAAAGGAAAGCAGAATGCGTATCGACAGAAACGCAGAGTAGAAATCCTCCCACTACAGCCACTTCATCCCACCGAGGGAAAAGAAGTCGTCAACATCACTTTGTCCCAATGTACATAATCGTTACTTCCACTTCATCATGATTCTATACGTTCTTGTAGAGCAACAGCGGTTCGCCGACATTCTCAATCTCGGGAATAGTGCACTTCAGGTCGAAAGCCTTGGCCAGGACGATCTTGAAGATCTAACAGATAGTTAGTATCGGACAGAAACCAGGTTCGGAAATTATCTCCGTTCGCACCTTTTGTACGTTGATACTGTGGCTGGTGCTGCTAAAAATCAAGCTGGCCTTCATAGCCTTGGCAAACCTCTTGGCCTGAGCTCAAATTAGCGTGGTTATTGTTAGATTTCTTCACGCTAACGTACCTGGATCGAGATCTCTTCCTGGTCTTCCCGGGGAAAGTTGACAAAGTGATCGTATTTTGTGCCAACGAGGAAAGGAATCGCCGTTTTATTAAAACCACGGCCCTGGCGGTACCACTCCTTAATGGAGTTCAACGTGCTCTTGCGAGTGAGGTCAAACATGAAGAGGATCGCGACGGCATCGTTGCAGACAAGAGGAAGCATATTGACAAATTCACGCTGCCCACCCAGATCCCAGATGGAAAAAGTAATCTCCGTATTCCGGATAGAAATCGTTTTCTCCATGAAGTTTACACCTGCGCAAGGTTAGAACTGTGCCCACAAATAGAGACCCCCGAATATTATCACATACCCAACGTTTGAATGTAGTCTTCGTCCCAACTGCCCTCCACATATTTGACCATCAGACTGGTCTTTCCGATCTGAGCGTCCCCAACCATCCCGACCTTGATCACCACGCTGTTCTTCGTTTGTTGTTGCGATGCTTGTTTCTGGCTGACATCCTGGCTAGTCTGGGAGACGCCGGGGGCACTGGACAAACCGGAACTTGGCCGAGACAACGAAGGGATCTGAGGTTGGGTCAAGGGAGAGGGAGTCGGCCGGGTATCATCATGAGATTGATAATCGCGAGTTGGGGAGTGGTATTCGACCGCGGAATGGGAGGAATAGTGGGCGCGCGAATCGCTGCTGTAACCGTCCTTGTAAGCCGCAGCGGGGGCCGTATCCTCCGTCACATGAGGATCCTGTTCAATCTGATCCGCCACATGGGGTGTGCTGGCGGTCGGAAAATGTGACGCATCCATATCGAGAGGAGTGTTTCAACTGGGAGGGTTGTTGGACAAAGCTTTCCACAGCCCCTGTGGGAGTGCCTGAGGGTGAACACAGCCGCAGCTCCAGAAGAGGGAGAGCGTCAACAGCCCGATCGCCACTAGTCCGCGATAGGCTTAGCGCCGTTGCCCGTCGGGCTTCGCAGAAAAAAAAAGTTCCTGAACCCTAATCAGTAATTTTCCCTCTCTTTTGAAGGTTGGTTTCTGCCGCACGACTGGTTCGTCGACAGCTTCTATTTAATCCCTATCAAACAAAACTTGTACACCATGTCGAAGAGAGCCGCCGACGTTTCCGATGAGCAATCCGCCGCTCTTAAGGCAGGAGAGCGCCCGATGACCGAAGCCCCTCCAGACGAGGTGGGGGAATTCGAGGACGAGTTCGAGGACGAATTCGAGAGCGAAGATGAGATCCTCGAGGCCGGTGTGGACGGCCGTCCTGATGCGGAGCGGGAAGAGGAAGAAAAGGGTAAGCTCTCATGTTCATCTGGTTTTACCGGTTCAGCTCTGATTGCGCCCATGTCCTACAGATGCGATGGAGGTCGACCAGCAGACTTTCATTCCCGGAAGAACGAAACTCGCTCCCGGAGAGGTGCTTTCGCCAGACCCTTCTACGTATAATATGCTACACACCCTCACAACACCCTGGCCCTGTCTTTCCTTCGATATTGTCCGCGATAATCTGGGCGACAACCGCAAGACTTTCCCCGCGACCGTCTACGCAGTAACTGGTACACAGGCAGAGGGACGTCGATCAAAGGAAAACGAGCTCATGGTCCTGAAGATGAGTGGATTGAGCAAGATGGAGAAGGAGAATGATACCGACTCGGAGAGTGACTCGGATGACGATGACGACATGGGAGAACCTATTCTCGAGCACAAGAGTATCCCCTTGGGATCGACAACCAACCGGATCCGTTGCCATCAAACCCCCTCGTCCTCTGGAGATTATTCCAAGCCTCCACAAACCCTCACTGCTACCATGCTGGAAAACTCGCAGGTGGTCATCCACGACGTCACCCCTCATCTGACGAGCTTCGATGTTCCCGGCACCGTTCTCCCTCCTTCCGCCTCGAAACCTCTCTCTACTCTTCGCATGCACAAATCCGAGGGTTACGCACTGGATTGGTCTCCTCTGCAACCACTGGGCAAATTGTTGACCGGTGACAACGATGGTTTGATCTACGTTACGACGCGCACCGAAGGTGGCGGTTGGGTTACTGATACGCGGCCCTTCACTGGACACGCTTCGTCGGTCGAAGAACTGCAATGGTCTCCTAATGAGCGGAATGTCTTCGCTTCCGCTAGCAGTGACGGTAGTGTGAAGGTGTGGGATGTCCGGTCTAAGTCCCGCAAGCCCGCTGTGGATGTGAAGGTTTCCAACACGGACGTTAATGTCATGACATGGTCGAACCAGACGTTCCACCTTCTCGCTACTGGTGCCGACGATGGCCAATGGGGCGTCTGGGATCTGAGACACTGGAAGCCGAATGCCTCGGCGCCGTCATCCCAGATCACCGCATCACCTGTCGCCGCCTTCGACTTCCACAAGGAGCCTGTCACCAGTATCGAATGGCACCCCACCGATGACAGTGTGGTGGCCGTTGGTTCGGCCGACAACACCGTAACTCTGTGGGATTTGGCCGTCGAACTTGATGAGGAGGAGAGCCGGGAAGCCGGTCTGGCAGACATTCCGCCTCAATTGTTGTTTGTGCATTACATGGAGTCGGTCAAGGAAATCCACTGGCAGGCCCAGATGCCCGGTACTATCATGGCTACTGGCGCTGCTGGATTCGGGTATGTATATTCGGATACGAACATGAGAAGGAGTCAAAACGCTAACCCATTCTTCACAGAGTATTCAAGACGATCAGTGTTTAAAAAGATAAAAGTGCGATTCCGAGATATACGCCCCACGACTTGCCGTTCTCATACCTTTTATACCATTTGTTTGATGGAAGTTCATTTAAAGTTCTCAGGGAAATAGAAGTCAATGAATCTGATGACATTGTGATATTATGCAAGACATGACCGCACAAATCATGGGTGATGATGACTACTAGTGTATTGAGTCGGGAGCCTGATTCGGTTTTGAGCGACAGTTTTAGTGTTGTGCTCAGGGCGCCTCGTGACGATCCGTATGTCGGCAAATGATTGTCAAATGCCGTCGGGGTGTAAGCGAGCAGGTGACCAGTCCTGATTTGTCGTAGATTGACCCAGCTAATGCGAGATGCATACACACTGTGGCAAGGAAAACGAAATTCTTATAGAAGTCAAAATTGTCTATGGATGCTCCTTTTGCGACGTGAAAGCATGCAGCAGAGAGACAACGTGTAAGATAGCAGTAGACAGAGAGCAACTCCTTAATTGGGAGAGTCTCCCGTGACATATCAAAAGTCTTTTCCCTATGGAATATCGTGGGGGTTTTGAAAGTCCGGGGCATCCAATCAGACCTGCGCTGAAAACGGATCCCCATCCATGGGCAAATGCGGGGAAAGCTGTGCCTCGATTGGTGTGTTAAAGGTCGTCGCCAACCTTGAGCAAATCCCTCGCCTCAAACCTTCCATTTGTTGTCAATCTCTCGGACCGTCACTCCTTTGTCCTTTATTGCTTGTCCCTGCAGTGCGCAGACCTTCCGGGTTGATCAGTTCACTAAACCAATCCGTCCATACTTGTGCTGAATCTGTATATTTTCCCCGCTGCGCTCATCGCTCAGCACCAGTTGCCCCCGCAAACTGCCATGAGGATCGGAAGAGGATGTGAGCGCTGTCGCCTTCGTCACATTCGGTGTACCACTCGCGCGGGAGCGTCGTCATGCAATGCATGCGCTCGTTTAGGGCGGACGTGTCGTCTGGATCCTCCGTTCCGTTTCAAGACCGTCCGCCATGTGTATCAAAAGAGCCAAGGGACTGCCTCTAAGTTCGAATTGGAGTGGGACTCCGCACAGACATGGGTGAATGTTCCTCAGTCTTGTATGTTCTGTTATTTCTACCTATGTGCTCTTTTTTTTCTATGTAAATTTCAATGGAATCCGGCCTAATCCTATTTAGTGACCTTCGTTCAAGAGTCTGCCGAAGAGTCTGCGGATGGAAGCATCAGTGATGCTCCACCTGAGCCTCAGGGCGATCCCCAGCTCCCCTCGGACGGCCCTCATACATACATCCCTGATCCTTTCACAACTCACCTGCCTATCTCTGGATCTCTAAATCCACACGATGAGGCCATTGGCATCCCCCATGTGGAACCGGCGATATCGACTCCCTCCACACACGATGACCAACATTCAACCAAAGCCACGGCGATCTCGCCGAGGGCTGTCAACGACATGGTCTCTCCTTTGGCATCCAATAGTACATGGTCGCCAATGACTCCATCCACTCCACGCTCGACCTCCTCATCGACGATGACATCGCGAGAAGCGTTCTTGTTGCGCTCATACATCAACAAAATATCGCACTGGGTAAGAAACATACACTGTTCAGTCGTACTTCTCAGTACCGGAGGATCTGATCGATACCACAGTTAGATATCTGTGACTCGGCATCGACTTTCAATAGTGAGGTGCCTCGCAGAGCGCTACATGTACCGATGGTTCTGAAAGCAGTGTTGGCGCTATCTGCTCGACATGATGCGATCATGTCCGGTGCTAGTGATTGGGAGGCCTCCGAATACCACAGTCAATGTGTAGAGCTGCTGCTCGCCGCCCTTGCGCGGCCTGAGGAAACATACGATGATAATATGCTTATTTCAGTTGTGATTCTGCGAATCTATGAGGAACTCGAAAGTACGACCGACGAAAAGTGTCATTGGCTTGGTTCCAATCGGCTGCTCAATACTATGTCCCGAGCCGCATCATCAGGCGGGTTGACAGAGGCCGCCAGCTGGCAGTTTTTACGGCAAGCAATCTACGCATCTATTGTCCAAAATCAGCCTATGCAGCTTGACCTTCGGAACTATGAACGGTCATCCGTTTTCAAGAGGGGCGACGATGCCGCCTATGCCAACACTATCATCTTCTACTGTGCCCGGATAATACAGCTTTGCTCGGAAGGCCATGTTGCGGCCGTGGATGAGGAGGACTGGCACGAGCTATCCAGTAAAGTGGAGCAGTGGTACCGCGACCGGCCTGTCAGTTGGCAGCCATTGCAGTACAAAGACGCCAACCCGGCGGAGAATCGACCATTTCCCGAATTATGGGTTATGTCACCCCCAGCCGGTATGTACCCGGGTTAGAGTGTGGACGGTGAGATATATGTTAACTGTTATAGTGGTCGGGCTGCAATATTACCACACCTGTCAAATTCTCCTCACGTCGTCTGACCGTCACTGGGGCGTCGTGAGCAACTATGAGCGTGCACGGCTCAGACGTATAGAAGAGGTTCGTACTACGGAGAGCTATCGACGATATCATATACTCACAGACCGCAGAAAGTGATTGCATCACACGTGGTGCAAGTGATTGGGCTATCTTCGTCGAACGAAACAGTCGAAAATGCCTATTTCATGGCTTGCCACCTACTATATCGATGTAAGTTCGCCGTTATCCGGCTCAATCGCTTTTCCCATGCTAACCTGTAATATCACAGATGGACACTGCCTGCGCCATCCCGTCGAGAAGCGGGGATCGTTCAAATTCCTAACTCAGGTGGAGAGCTCCGTGGGCTGGCGCACGGGATGGATTATTCGCGAATTAGAGGATCAATGGAACGAGTTGCAGGGATTGGATTCGTGGGAGCTGTAGTAGCTGCAGCTATGACGCATGTATAGTACGCTTTTTCTTTTTTCTTTTTTCTCTTTTGGATGTTGGGTGTTGGAGTTGGGGTTCCGGCAACCAGTCAGCACCTTCATGAGGACATGATGCAATGATTATCTCGATGCCTGATGAGCGGGGTTGGCGACAAGTGGGTCTTGGCGTACAGGGGAATAGAAAACTAGTAACTAGATAGATGATATAGAAATTAGAGATATAAATAGATTACGATGTGAAGAATGTTACCGCCTGCGCTATATCAAGTCAGTCGATGTCGCCAAAAGTAGTCAGTACCAAATACTAACCAAGTGCTTTTTGTTCACATCTCCCAGGCATCCATATATTCCATGGAATGCCAGATGAAGATCGAATCCAGAACCACCAATCGCACCGGGCAAACCCTCGGAAAATTTCCCAGCTACATTAGCTCCCGCAGTAGGATACCAAAGTTCAACAACACTGTTGCCTACTTACACAGTAGAAACTGAGTAAGTACCGCTCGGCGGACCATCGGCACCAAGCGAAGTCACTTACTTAACAAAAAAAGCCCTAACACAAGATAAAAATAGCAAAAATCCCATTCCTACACAGTACATGCAAGATGCACATACGGAGTACTTTCCGAATAATCATCCAGCAAATTTAGTAAAACACCCAAGAAAACAAAACAACTCCTCTAAAAGACGCATAAGAATATGAACCCAAGAAAAATCACATGCCGCCAACCCAAGATCTACAAAGAACTGATATAAATCAGCGACAAAAGTTCAACATTGCGAAACAAGGGTCCAAGGGCCAAGAATCCTAAAAGTGGAGACTTCGGTCATATGTTGGCTTTGGGGCGGTGCTTTTCTTCTTTTTGTTTTTGCTATTTTATTATTATTATTATTATTATGATTTTAATTTCGTTCTGGGTTTCTTCTGGTCGCAAGCTGGCTCACGTTGCATTGTACTATTGCACTATTATAGTGCCCTATTCCTTGTCTGGTAGGTGGTAGAAGTAGCCCAGAACCATAGAAGTCTCGGTGAAGTGGAAGCTAGCAAGAATTGCCCTATCTTGGCGCCGTGCCTGATGGATTTTCTTAGGTTAGTTTCTGCTAACCCCGGAGGTGGCCGTCACAGGGAGACGGGATGGGATGGGGATGGAATTAGTATCTTGTTGTAAGATGTAACTGGCCCGAGGTTTAGATTCTAGTTGTTCACTTGTGGTTGATCTCTATCGGAGCGGGATTGCGTTCAAAATTTCCGGGCTGGAAAAAAAAAAAAAAAAAACTTGATATACGGAGTACCTGTAGGTACATACTGTACTAGACTACTAGTAGGTGGTGTGTCTTTTCTTCAGTTGCTCAGCCACTCGGTTGTTTATGTGAAGTGATTAGATTACCGGATATTGTAACAGGTCTTTTGTTTGGGTTTGGGACTGGTGTGATTTCATTATTCATTTTAGTTTAATTATCTTGGGGGTTATTATTCATGTAAATACCCTTTTGGTTTTCTTTTTTTCTTGTTGCTTTTTAACTTTTTGTTTTGTTTTGTTTTTACTTTTTAACTCCGCTTCTTGCGTCTCGAGGAATTTGTATGTGCTATACTGCGAGTTGTATATCGCAGTTCTAACCCGCGCGAATGAAGTCAAGACATGTACGGTCTATTTCGGGGCTTTTGTTGGGTGGTGGGACTGGGATTTTGGCTTCGGAGTCATGTATGTTATTTCTCTCATTTTCTCTCTCTTTTTTTTGATTTGATGTCTGGCTGTCATTTCAGGTCGAATTAACACGTTGGATGCAGGCTCAGGAAACTTAAACATATCCTCTCAATCCGACGCCGACGGCCTCAAAGACTGCGAAACCATTAACGGTCCCCTAACTATCTCCTCCTCCGCCAGCGGCACCATCAGTATCCCCGAAGTCCAGGACATCAAAGGCCCGTTTACGATTGAGGGATCGTCGAATCTCAATGCCGTCACCGCCAGCAATTTGGAAACCGTCAGTGGGCCGCTCACGATCACCGGTAATGGCGCGTTGAATAGTGTTTCGTTGTCGAATTTGCAGAATGTCGGGGGTGAGCTGAGGATTCAGGGGAATGAGGGGTTGAAGGAGGTGAGGTTGGATGATTTGGAGAGGGTTAATGGGAATTTGGTTCTGAATGGGGATTTTGATCGGTTCGTTTTTTTTTTTTTTTTTTTCTTCCTTCGTTGGGTATTTTTATAGTGGTTGGTGGTTTGGTGCTGATGTGGGTCAATATAGCATATCGCTTGGGAATCTGGAGAATGTCTACGGTCAAACGACGATTCAGAGTTCGGGCTCATTTCAATGCTCAAGTCTGGATAAGCTTGTGTCGGATAAGAATGCTTTCAGGGGCTCGTTCTCTTGCAATGAGAAAGGGTCGGGTCTTAGCGCCGGCGCGAAGGCTGGTATTGCGATTGGTGTTATTGTCGGTGTTATTCTCGTCGTGCTCCTCATCTGGCTTTGTATGCGTCGACAAAAGAGGCAAAAACGGAAGGATGCCGTCCTCGCTGGACTCACTGCTGCTGGCGCCGCGGGGGCGGTCGGGAAGGATGTCGAGAAAGCTGAGAATAAAGCACCTACTGCAGTGTCGAATAACTCTCCGTCCAGTCAAGAACCGCCGAGTCCGCCGTCCGATACCGAGGTGGTGGCTGCAAGTACTATACCGAGAAAACCTGTTTCTCCGCCGCCGCCGGCACCGGTACCTGCAGCGTTGGTGCCCGGCGATCGGTCATCGACGGTGCTTTCAAATTCGGATGACCCGTCCTTGTTTCTGCGGCCGATACCGAGAAGGAGACCGTCTGAGTCGGAGGTCCCCATGCTGGATAGTGAGAACGTGCATGAGGCGCCGCCGCCGGAAGTTGGGAGGCAGCAGGAGGGGTTGTTTGAGCTGGATGCTGGGCCTGTGAGTGGTAAGCATCAGCAGGCTATACATCACGATTGATCAGTGATCTTTTCTTTATGTGCAATGATAATAATGATACCTTTTTGTTTTTTTTTTTTTTTTTTTTTATCAATGTGGTTTGTTATGTTTGGAGATTCGGAGTGGAATTACTGCATGTCAGCGCAATCTATCACGGATGAAATGTCCCAATCCCTATATTATTGGGTCTAAGCCATCCTTCTTCCATCCTGTGGTATTTAGGGTAGATCAACTCTCGGACGAATAACATGGGTTTCGATCGAAATGACATCAATTAGGTGCTGCTAAACTCGTAACCAGTGTATATCCATGGTAGTATACATCAACATTAACAATCATCTACTCAGGTCGATTTTCCCTTGGACCGCGGGGCTCGCACTGCCTGCAGTGTTTCGCCCGAGGGCAACGGCCCGCACCATCCGTATGCATCGCATCGGCACTGTTCATAACGAGGACAACTGCGGCCCGTTAGCATCTCCGCCCATCATAAAAAAAGACGGCAACCCAAAGAACTTACTATATGTCCTCCATGCCGAAAACAACATGCCAGACCTTCTCAAACACCCACCCGACGCCAAAACTATCCGTCAATTCTGTCTCCGCCGCCCACTTAAGCATACGCTCGTAATCGTGACGCGGTCGCTGCAGGATCCGTTCCCGGCTGACAGCGAACTGTCCGCAGCAGACGTTGCCGATATGCTGGGGGACCTTCTCTGGGCCGACGTTGAATAGTGTCTCGTAGACCTGAGGGAAGAACGCGCGGATGTCGTCCTTTTCGATGTCAATCTGCGTCGGTTCCCATGGGTTAACGCTCGTCGGGCAACCGGGGTTGTGTTCACAGCGGAGATTGACGTATCCTTGCGCGTCGACGGCTTCGAGACGGAGATGAGGCAGCACGGAGCTGGTGCGCGGGCCGAAGAGGTCGTTGTGCCACTGGTCGATGTTGGAGTGGATGAAGATGGTGTACTTCGGGAGTTGATCGTAGAAGTCGACGATGTAGGATAAATAGGCGGTGGCCTCGCGACCGCGAGTTGTCGCAGGGACGAGAAGGTAAGGGGCGGGAGGGGAATCTGTGGTATAAATGAAAGGGATTGTCCCACTATGGGCAATTAAGGTTAAATATTAGCATTGACGCGGCATGTTAACGAAGGGTGCACAATGTCGTACTGATCCCGACAATAATTGAGGAGCCAGCCGAGGTCCTCCTTCTGCGTGGCCGCTAGCACCAATCCAACTTCACTTGCACTTCCATTCGTGTAGGTGTTCGTGATCTCGGATAATTGACGAAAGACTTGGTTGTTCACGGGCTCAGGGTCTGGGATTCATTAGCCATGATATCATTAGGAATGTGGGAAACTCCCTCTCGAAACGGGGAGATAGATAGATAGATAGGAGCCGAGATTCAGTATACATACTCGGTTGTATGTCCAACGGCTCGCTCATGTATAGAAACATAGTCACCAGCGTGGTGAAAACTAGCGCCAAACATCCTAAACACACCGTTCGAGGGGCAGGCCAGCGAAACAACCGTCTCTTGGACATTATGGAAGTATGAGCGCTCTCACAGGTGAGAGGCTAAAATGCGCGAGAAGCAAGGGAATGGAGGATGGGGGATGGGAGGATGAAGGGTGTCAAGAGTGGTCGATGCATTGAACTAGGTGTTATCGGCCATTTTGTTGGAGTCGATGGACCACTACGACAGGAGCCTCAACCCCAAAGCACAAATCCAGGTCTGTCTTACGCCCTACTAAGAAAAAAAAAATAAAAAAAGAAATGGGGGCAGAAACTAAGTGGATGACCTCACGGTAAGGGGCGAATCGCAAGACGGTTACATCCTGAATCTCAACCAATGGTTCTCGAATCAACAGAATCTGGTTTGGCGCATGGCCCCAGTGGAGTCTCTGCTATCATCTAATTGGTGTGTGGCACGAGCCACCCAACAACTAGTCTTCTACACCATCGCCCTTTGGGATTAGGGATAAACGTATTTAACTTATTACAATGTCTTTGACCCAGGGGAGAACCAATGGGGATATTCTCAATGTTGGATCGTTCTTCTACTAATTGCAGTTTTGTAGGTGGATAAAAATCGTTCGGTTACTCGGACCTATATCTTCGAAGTTCTCGATCGGTCCTCCCAGACTGGTACGGTTAGTGACGAGGAAGCTTGCGTGGCACCCTGTGTGACTGAGCAGACAACAGAAGTAGCCTGGATTTAATCTGACAGACAACGAATGACCGGTCGAGCCGAGATGTACACGGAATACAGAGGTCGTGTCAATCCTTGATGTCAATAAAACATAAATAAATAAATGATCCGTCATGGCCGAGACCCCAGCACAAATTATATATGCATGTCATTTCCATGCCGCGTCTGCCATTGGAACGCCTGTAATGGACTATGGCCCCGCTTATTTATTTTTGTTTTGGTTGTGATTTTGAGCCACAAATTTCGAGAGATTTAACGTGACGACTTTCCTACTAGAGTTAGCGACGTGCAATGGGTTGGATTCTAGGTCTAGCTAGGCGGAGTAAACCATTCCGTGTCAGGAACCAGAAGCTCCACCAGATCACTCATCGATGGATCCACAATGAGTGACTTTGACCGAGAGGAAGAGATATAGAGATAACCGCAAGGAGCATATTCAAGTGTGGAGGATAGTCACTAACTGGGCCTACGTAATGCCATATCATTACCAGTAATAGCATTCCCACGAGAGTGGTGAGGGATCTTTGCTGATCAGCAGAGTGTTTCTTACAGCAAAGACATTGCGAGAAGCACATCCTTAGATCAAGAGTGCAAAGCGGCCTAGGAATTGTAGACAAGATTTGAGAGAACGTGGAGGTTACCAAGGAGAATCTCTTCTGAGGTCTACTCTCTACGATGCCTGTGATTTTCTCCTGTTTTCCGAAGTAACTGGTATGCCTGTAGTTTATCGGGGGAATTTTGTATGCCCCTTTGAGAGGACGTTGTTAGGCATAGTAACAACGAGCAGGGCATGCATTTATATATCCGTATAGAAGATAAGCGACGTGAGTCAAAAAGCCACTCCTTACAAACTAACCAGCATTCAAAAGCCGGAATAAAAAGGGCTTTCGGAAGCTTATGTTGAGTTAACCAGGGTCCATAATGCCCTGAAAAACATATTCCAGTATCTCAATATTTAACTTCTTGCATGGTATCCGCGCCATGTCGGGGCCCTACCAAGCACTTGGTGAATATACTGCGCATATGATGAACACTCTGGTTACTCAGGTTTCCTGCAAGCAACCGAAGAGAAATAAGATAGACATATCACTATGGAGTAGAGTCTAATGCTAAGAATACACCAAGGCAAAGGACAGAAGCTCAAAAAACAGTACTGATATTGCTTGTTCTCGACGCTGCAACTATAGTAAGCTATCACCTAGAAATAATCGGATGTCCACTACTATCAGCCAAAGTGGAGTCGTTTGGCAATTAACACCCAGACGTAGCGCTTCTGAAGCCTTCAAACTTGGATAGATCAAATGGAGTTTTGGACATGGCGACCGTTTCAGAAACAAACCCCAACGAACTTACGTCGAGAAGACTTGCCGAATCTTTTCTGTTATTCATTCTTTGGTATGATCGTAATTTTTCCTCTAGCCAGGCCTGCCAATCCCAGTCGACCCATTGATCGAAGTCAGTGGGAAGTTAAGCCCAGCGTAGGAGACGCGGCATAGATGTCCCCAAAAAAAGGTGAGCTCTATAGGCTACGGCTGCGGCATCGTCTCTTGTACGCCCAAAAAGAGCTCGGCCAAAGTCAAGGAAGATCAGGTCTGGCTTTCCGCTGCAGGACGCAGAGTCAACCAGGGTAATATTTCTCAACGTAAAGTCTGTGAGTAAAATGTCTCTCTGATACACTAGACTTTCGAAGTCTACCGCAGATTTCAGAAAAACCCGACGGGAAAGAGATATGTGATAGTTATGAGTGCTTAGTGAAAATGTCCAGTGACTTTTATCTTATGTTCACCCCCTCCAGCAAGGGTTGAATGGAGTACGAGTTGCAGGGATCAGCACTAAATGCTCAAAATGGAGAAACCGTTGAGATGCCGATGCACCCTTGCTCGGTTAGGCTAAGGACACACCTTCGCTAGTGCAGCCGTCCAAACCGGGTGATTTCATTGTTTGAGAGAGGCCGTATGATCTTCCTAGGCCATACGAACCCTTTAGTATAGGTACTTATGCTCCTTAAAAAGCCGGGGAAATGTGCGGCCTGCTCTCACAAATACGGTCAAGTCCCAGCGTTTCATTTCTTCCATCAATCGTCAACTGCCATCGGGTTTCCGACAACAGAAAATCGAAGTATTCCACGATATGTCCCGACTTATTCAAGCTGATAGTGATGATAATACCCGGCTTCCTGTGATTGAAGTTGACCTGGAGGTGAGCGGACTCCCGGAATTATTAAACTCTCAAGCCAGTGACAGTACTCTGAAACCATCACAATAAAGGCCACAGATAACAGCTCCTCATACGGACAAGAACTGTCAGGTGTATTCCCTGTCAAGCTGCTAGACGGACTATTAACGACTACTAGGTCAGCCTACTCAACCTCTCTCTCTTCATCTGCACTGGAATATCGTTATGAAAATGGTAGACGCTATCATGGTTATCGCGACGGCAGTAAGAATATCCTCCAAACACAGCGAAGTCGATGCACTCTCATAGATTGACAGAATATCTTGGACCCAATGACGAACAAGAATCCGATAGGCTTGACATGTTGCATGAAATGCTCCTGGTAATGATGAACAGGAAACTGTTTCTGGCTCCTATCGAGTCTTCACCTGGACGTGTGCTTGACCTGGGCGCTGGCACGGGGATATGGGTAATGGACTTTGGTGAAGTGCTTGGATCAACACACATTTAGGGGATCTATACTAACTTGAACAGCTGACAACTACCCATCAGCGGAGGTTTGTCCTATACCAAGTTGGAGGAATGGCCATTAAACTGATGTTCGATCTCTCCAGGTTATTGGCATGGATTTGAGCCCGACACAGCCTCAATTGTGAGTCGTCGACTGCTGTGTACTAGACCCGGCTGATTGTATGGTGTCGCAGTGTCCCGCCCAATGCCAAGTTCCTGGTCGACGACTTCGAGGACGACTGGATCTACCAAGACCAATTCGACTTCATCCATGGCCGATATTTGGCTGGAGCCGTGAAGGATTGGCGGAGGCTCATGACTCAGGCATACAAGTTGAGCCTCCTACCCTTGCGGAACGTGGTTCCCTGACTTACTTGGGTAGGTATACGAAGCCTGGAGGATGGGTTGAGTTTCAGGACTGGAATGTCAACGTGTACTCAGAGGACGACTCCATAAAAGGCACGTCGGTCGAGAAATATTACTCGGTTGTTTGTGGCAGTTTCACCAAGGCCGGGTTTATCATTAGCCCAGGCCCGCATCTGGGTGAGTGGCTCCAAGAAGCAGGGTTTGAAGAGGTTCACGTGCAGAAGTACCGTGCTCCTGTTGGAGGCTGGCCCAAGGATAAGTATTATGTATGTGGACGATATGTCGACCTCGGGTAGTGTTTGATCTAACGTTGAGTGTCGCCCTAGAAAACCATCGGGGTTTGGAACCTCCTGCAAGCGGAGACTGGCTTCGAGGCAGGTGCCATGGCGGTTCTCACAAGGTTCGCAGGCTGGTCGAAAGAGGAGGTTAACGTTCTTGTTTCCGGGGCCCGAAAGGACGTCCGGGACCCTAAAGTGCATACATTAGCCGACTTGTAGGTGGACACGCTTCGTGCTGGAAGCTATAATGTCCGCTAACCGTTTCGCAGCTATGTTGTATACGGTCGGAAACCTAAACGACCGACCGAAGCATAACCTAGAGTGTAGCTGTCAAGTCCCCTGTGGCAAAAAGCATGATCGCCCTATCACCATGGACGATAGGCGAAAGACAACTTGAACCGTCGGCCGGCTCACCGGCGGTCTCGCGCGACCCTACAGGGAGGAAAAGGTGTGTGGATCTTCCCGAAGACCGATTGGTGGTCATATCAAGGAACACTTCGCCACCGACCCAAATTTCTCATGCGACTCGATCTAGACTATCAACGAATGGGGATTAGTCGGGGTTATGAATGATGCACGATCGCAACTCGAGAGGGATGGCACCCATGGATGAAGTCCATTTGCATGCTGGGTCTCGATTAAGGATACCACCACAACCTCTAGAGTTTAAGACATTTAACTTTGCTGAAGACCCAGGAAACAGATACCTTGTCCTCGGTAACGTAATATGTCATGCCGCTAAAGGGTGACACCCTTTCGCCACGGTCAATGCTTCAGTGGATCAATTAGCACCGCACAAGCAACATCTTAGTCCAGTCGATTACAACAAGAGTACCTAATAAATTGTTCTCCCCACGTGGAATGGGCTAGAGGGGAGCTACCTAAGAGTAGAGTGTCAAACGAAGAGCGATCTCTACCCAGTGCAGAAGGATTTTTTGGCGAGGTTGGCCAATGGACTGCCGTAGGGAAGATTCTTCCGCCCAGTGGATCAGCCGATCATGACTAATAAATACTCACGAAAGACCCATCGAATTCCCTCCTTGCCCAAAGGGACCTCAACCTATAACCGTACCTGTTTCATAAAAACTTCTGCATTATGAGAACCATTTTGCATACTCTTGTAGTGACCGAGAACACGATTTGATTTAGGATGTATAGCTTGAATTGAGTCGTCAATAAGACAAATTCATGTGCGACTAACTCTGCCAGTACTTACTTACTTCCGTCAGAAGCTATTGCCACTAACATTGTCCAGCAGGACCACAGACATATTTCCATGACTCGCCCGGAAAAATCATCCTACTACTTAAAACTATGACTCCACGAAATGAGAAGTCTTCACCATCACACTCGGGGCGGTCCCCGTCTCACTCCTCTGGTGCAGAGGATGGAGGTTCCCGCTTCGCCTTTGTAACCGAGGGCACTTTGGCCGAAGCTCGCAGCCATGCAATGCGGGAGCACTGGAGGCAGCGCCAACGGCGCAAGCAAAAATCAGAAGATCGCCGAACCCAGAGGAAAATCTTGCCTCACACAAGCCCCGTGGAGAAGAGTAAACCCAAACCAAACTGCGCTTCTGAGCAAGTAGTCGAGTATCATAGTACCGAGGATGTGTTTTTGCTACACCAACCCAGTCCGACTTGTATAAAAACCAGATACTCAGATTACGACGGAGAAAACACAAAGACCCAGTATCCTGGTGTGCCAGCACAAGCCTTAACCGGACTCAACCACGCCCTCGCGTCTTCCAGACTTGACCCCTTCGAGATGTTTCCGGTTCAACTGACAAGTAACCATCACAAATTGCTTCACCATTGTGTGTTCCCTTGGGGATACTTTTTAAGTACCAGAATGGCTAATTCGATGCCAGGGCTGATTACTCACGCGGCAATGATGTTCGACGATGTCGCCATTCCGAGCTTTAACCCGATGAAAGATGTTTGGTTCCCCTTGGACCTCTCCAATGCTGCTTCTTTCTATGGTATTATGGCCCACTCAGCAGCTCACCTGGCTCACCTCTACGCGGGAATGAACCCGTCAAGAGGAACAAGTTCCACCGATGCGTTGAGGTACAAATCTGAGGCTGTGAGAATACTCTCTACATGGATGGCCGACCCAGAGAAATCGCTGAGTAACGACGCCTTTGCTGCTGTTATTCGGCTTTTAACATTTGAGGTACGTACGATTGCTATCGCAATGTCTATCTACCTGCCCTTCTCTTCCCGTTCAACAGACACATGTCTGATTCGTCTGCAGAGATATTGGGGGACAGAAGAGGAGTGGATGGTGCATCGGACTGGCCTTCAAAGGATGATCGACGCACGGGGTGGTATTGATAAATTGCACGATAATTGGCGGCTGGAGCTTGTCGTCTATCTGTGAGCTTTCATATTTCTATGGTAGTGTCATAGCTAACGCGTCAAACAGTGTTTCCTTAATGTCAAAACCGACGTGGTTTGAGTCATCAAACAACATATCCGAAATATCCGAACAGTCTTTCCAAAATGCCGCGAAAGCAGCATTAGTAGATACACAGAAAGTCCGCTGTCTGTGGCTGATATCATTTATCCAAGACATGCGGACCCTCATGGCATTCTCATCTCGGCTGTATATGGACGGTCTCGCGTCTTATCCGTCCCTATACGATGCCGTTCTACTCTTACGGTCGAATTTCCACTTAGCCAACGAGAACCCTTCCCGTACCGCTAGTTTCCCCTCCGACTATGACAGACTGGCTTGCCTATTCTCCATCTGCGTCACGATGCAAGAATCCATATCCCACTCGCCTGTTACATCATCATTACCCGCGCCTGAAATTTATAATGACATGGCACTGCTGGACGTCGCTCTTGCAACCTCGCGAAATGTATGGGAGACGTCGGTATACAGCCTGCGTGCATTTTTGCATCACCACTTCGTGACATATCACCCGGACGGAGCCGCAAAGATCGATTATGTCATGAAGATGACAGATGTTCTGGGCCATCTCAGTCTTGAAGCACGTAGAGGTGTCGAAAAGTGTCTTTTGAATATGCTATGTCGTGCACGGGAGGGAAAGATATGGTTTTTGGCGGATGATGGCTGGACTCCTGATTCGCTGCTGTCTTCTGTGCACGGCCAATAAATTTTTTTTTTTTTTTTTGATTTTTCGGTTTATTGTTTTCCTTAAATCTTACTGCTTCGTTTACAGTGATATCTATTTCATTTTACAGCCGCTATACTTCCCTGCGTCTTGGAAGCGAAGGGTCAATTTGTCAACCCTAATGTATATACCTTACCGCAGATGTTTTCCAACAATCCGATATGAATGAACATAACACATTCCATCTATGACCGGAATACCTAATGTCAATGAACTGATGTATTCCTACTTAGGCATCCATCACCCATGATCGCTTTCGTACAGGGCCGGACTACATCTATATGATGATTATTGATGAAAGCGAGGATATTTAGGAAGAGGAAGTGGATGTTAATAAGGTCCCTGTTATCATACCGTTACAAAGTTATAGAACATTACTTTAAGTACTATAATACTAAACTGATAATAGAACTACCTTTCAGCTTTATTATCTTAGCATTTCTCTTTGAACATAGCCCTGGTCATACCAGGATAACTTTTATAAAGCCAGAATATTATGATCCAGAGCCTCAAGTGTAATAGCAAAGAAATTATATGTTGAAGTAAAGGAATAAAATACATACTCAGAAGAGCACTCATTCCAGTGATGTCCATCATCCATTAGATTGTTGTGTACTACATTATGCTCCTCTTATCGCTGATCTTATCGCCGATATTATACTAATATATATAGATCAGCTCATCCATCTTGGAATGCGGTGATATCTGCTTCGGCTTTGCGTTTCTGTCGGGCCTCTTTGTGCACCGGATAGGCGATATTTCCTATGAATAGAGGTACACATAATTCTCTTCGGCTGACTGAGCAACTAAATAAGTCACATTCGTGTTATTTATAGCTCTCATCCGATATATCGTGCTAGATTGATAGCACGGCGATGGAGACCCGCTGTCATTACCTGCGGCACCCTTTGGTTAAATCGACGCTGAACACCCTTCTCGTCTCCGATATTGAATTTCTTCCTCTGATAGTAAAGCTGGTCGCACATCCAACTGTGACTAACTCGGTCATTTAATCAAAGGGCTGCGCCGCTGTGGGGATTTGACCAGGTAGTTCAAGGGCCTCCACTTCTACAGGCCTTTTTGCCTACTAGGTCGTATGGCCTTCTGGTCTTTTCTTATTCACACCTCACAGTAAGAGGATGGATGCACGCAGCAATTGCCTTGCGTTCAAGGTTCCACCCCGGCATGACCGATTGATTAACATCAACTTCTGATGTTTTATTCCTTAGTTGGGTTTTGTCGACCGTTCACCAGATATTAGTCGCTGATAAGCTTCATTACACCACTGTCCAAAGACAGCCGTGAGCGGGAGATAGAAATTTCGTTTTATCGGTCCTAAAAGGTACTGGGCCGAGACTTCCTAAGAATAATCCAAGAAGGTCAGGTAACCTCCAATAGCCGATGTCGGTACACTAGTGACGATTTGGAAGATACAGCTTCCCTATAGTAGTCGTATATTCAAACCAAAAGCACCGCGGGTAATATGGTGAGCAGGCCCTGATATTGGACTCTGCCACTAGGACTTCCCTTAGCGGTTTTATTGGGCCGACAAGACAACCGCGACCCGTCCTTTTCCCACATTCTCATCTCATTTTGGAACTTGTCCTTTACTTTCAGTGTGATATATGCGATTGCCTTAAGAGGGAACCGGGTCATGGGTGTAACTCGTGGTGCAAGGTTGGCGTGAGCGAAACGGCCGACGGGCGGCAGGGCTTTCGCATGTTCGGCAAAGTTGCTCATGCACAGAATGAAGTTTGGTCGCGTCAGTCGAGAAAATAAAAAACGTAAGATAAAAAAGTATTTAGTATGTGGTGCGGCGCAGACAGCTGGAAAGTCAAATCGCCCACAAAAGCGTGATTCATAACGGTCAAGGGAAGCTGCGGCATTCTAGACCACAGCACGAAGCCCATATCCTTTCCCCTCTGGTCGGTATGTCTCGTGTATCAATCAGAGTAGTGTTTGTTGTAGCCCTCTTCGGATCCTCGCTGTCCAGTCAGATGGTCCTAGTGGATCGAGCCCGTGAAGAGCAATGAAGCACATTGCCCACCAGTGAATAGAGAAGCAACAGTGATACCTGCAGGCTGATCTCTTAAGGATACTCTCCACAAAGAGTCATAATAATGGTTCAAAACTCTACCATAGTTTCTGATTCCATCGCGCCACCCAGATATTGGTCAAAGTACTCGGTACAGATACAATACTTCCGAGGCTCGCTCCAGGTACAGGGAATAATGTCTGCTATCTATAGCATACAGCGTCCAGAGCATAACTCGATATACACCATTGGTTTATCAGCGAGCCCAGTTGGCGTCATGATCTGGTTCTAGTAGAACACAAACACTATATGGACAAACTTTATTTCAGAAGATAGCGGTCTTCAACGGGCAGAGTTCCTCCAGCAGACAGACCTTCTCCGGCAGACAGGGCTGGGTCAACATTAGGGTCGACACTATTCCTCGCACCTATCGACGATCGTCGTAGGGTAGATATGGGCTGCGCGCATTGGTGTCAACGAAACTGGAAAACAGGTCCTCGATAGATTGCTGTATTGACCGATATACAATGCCGTCTTCGTTTTAATAGTCGTATTAGTTGTGTTGGTTGTTGAATATGAAGTATAGACTGGCATCCAATTGTGGGATAATTTAAGTGGTCAATGGAATTCATGACGCTGTACGGCATAAGATCCTAGGTCTATCGTATAAATACGGGAACGGAGGTTATCGCAGAAGACATCTATAATCCTCGCGATTTAGCACGATATGAATGCACTGACTCTGTCCATCATCTTTGTTAAAAAATTCCCAATTCTCTCAATAATGGCGAGGTTGCATCAAGCCAGTTTGGTTATGATACTGTCATAATCGCCATCGGGGGCAAAGGGCTCTGCGTAAACCCGTGAGAGGAAGAGTTGTAGATATTGAGCGAGGGCTGCAACGAAGGTGGGTTCTGGCGCGCATATTATAATCTCGGCTCTCCAAGGCATTGTGTTGACACTAAATCCAATTGGCTCTGTCCCATCTGAGTTCTGATCATAGAATTTGGACACACGTCCGATTTAATCGTCCTGCACAAGGCCTAGCCTGTATCCAATTTGCCCCTTTCAATGACGCCAACCCGTTGGCTGCTTGGGAATAGTAGATCGTAGCACAGTGACTCGGCAGTTTCCACTTATGTCTAGTGCAAGCACTGCCTTTGAAGTCTTCCCACTTCCTAAAGTTGCGCTTAATCACCTCTGTCATTCCTGATGCGTTCAGGATGCACGTCGATTGCATTGCCCATTTCCCCACGGTATTCTGTGGAATTGCCGCGACTCACCTGAGGCCCTAGCACAAACAGAAATCGAGCTTGGAGACAACGTTACTTCTAGTCGGGGGGTTCGCATGCATGGTAAGGGATGGAGAAGATTGTCGCAGAGTACGACATGCGCACCTTGTGAGGTGGATCACAGTCGGCTGGAATTCTGGTCCGATGATTCCTCCTAAGCCTTGTGGTCCAGGACAGTGACCTTGTCTATATGATCTAAGGCGTTTCGGACGTTTCTCGAAAATTATCATGATGTTTTGGCTGGTATGGTATCTTGTAAGCACCGTTGCTTGATAGACTAGTTCAGGGTAGAGTCATAGGCTCCATTGACATAACGCTCCGAGCTGTTTGAGCTAAATATATAGATCCCTGCGCCGAGGAGGGAAACGGCCAAGAATGTGCCTATTAGCTTGCGAGAGGTAATGAAACTTTTTATGTGTCCTCTCACCCTAGCGAGCCACCCCTTTGTATATTGCGGACACAGGTCCTGATAGGAGTACATTGTATGACTATCCATCGGCATACTCGCCTGATCTGTATTGACCGTGGACATCTTGATGTTACCGTGCGAGCCCAAGCCTAGGACACAACGTTGGTGACTTCGCGGGATCTCAAATATACCCATAGGAAATGGGTCCTTTGGACACCGTTTGGTATTGCCATAAGTGGTTGATACTTGATCAAGCTTCCTATTCAGGAGTTTGTCTGGCGTTGGCCAAAGGAGGGAAGACCTGGGAGGACACCGCAGGGCTTAGGGTCTCTGGTGAGGATATTTTGGTCAACTGTAATATGCGATATTTGCTGGAAAGGATCTAGACAAAGTGGCTGCATAGCCAAAGTTTCTTCGGGTGTCAAGCGTATAGTGCCATTAGTCGGCTGACCGAAAGCGCTCAAACTTACAATGCACTGCCTTTGTTATGAGCTCTTCGTGGGGGTTTCCACTATTCTGTCTAACAGAAATACCCAGTTCTCATCAACACATCAGTCGGGAGTCGGGGTCATCACGTACAAAGAGTCCCTTGATGACCTCTCCGCACTCTTATAGGTGTCTAGTTCATATGGGCTATAACTGACTTCCAGGATTTTCTTTTGTGAACACGCAACTAGTGCTTTGTATCCTTAATGGATAAAGCAGATATCAATACATGTTGTCTCGGTTCCATCACTTGTCACCCGGGTTCAAGTAGATATCCATGGATAGATGTTGGTGTCGGTATCTGTCCAAGAGCCGACAACAAAGGCACACAAATGTGAGTGCGTGCTGAACCAAACAGAAACATAGGTATCGTAACGAGTATACCCTATCAGGTGTTGTGTTGCCTTCTGGTTAACAATGCAACCGTTTTGAATACCCACATGCCAACGAGAACTCACTCATTTTGTGGCCACTGGCAAGAGTTGACACAGTCGCAGATGGTCGCTCTGAATTATTCACCCACGAGCTATGGCTGCTTCACATAACCTTGATTGTGGTCCATAGGACTTCATGAAAACCGGCCGACATGTACATCTGGTTTTTCCATCTCGCGTAGTAGGTTCCTTGGCCTGGGGCTTTCTTTTGTGGGACTGTAGTGGGTGACATGCTTCTCCGCAGATCCCATGGACCGAGCATGGCCAGCCCCTTATCACAGATTAGTATATGCGCACTCAGAATATGAAGTATGATACTTGCAGGATAGTAGGATTCGATGGTTGGGGAATTTCAGGAAGAGAGAAACCATGAAGCTGACAAGGCAGACTCACAAAGAGCCACAAGGTTTATTTCTTATCAAGCGTGCTGCCACTCGGCCAAAATACCTTAGGCATTTGGTCGTGCCTCCAACCGATCAATGCGGCCAACATTTCTTTCATGATGGAAGAACAGATAAGGGACAATAGAATGGTTAGAAGTTCATGCCTATGGTTGTAAATGCACAAAGGATATGGACTTTGGCTAGGCTCAGTCGTTTATGGTAGTGATAGAAGCTTTGATTTTTCTTAGCTGTAGGTTGGCTCCCGCCGCATATCAGAGCACTCAGTTTGTGGAATTGAGCCTACCATTGAATCATTTAGCGTGGGCCGGATTGAATAACTACACACATTAAGTGAATTGTACATGCAAAAATGCAGAGATTAACTACTCAGATGGATAAGAGCCTTAGCCCAATGGTTTGGAGCTCCAGATAGCAACGGAACATATCTAAATATGATTAGTTACCGTTACAACTGCCAGGACAAGCATACCGCAGCTCCTGAAGATAACACGCAAAGGCCTTGGCCAGATAGTGTAAACCACGAGCTAAGCTTCTACTCTCAATAAGGAGGCTAGCGAACAAGTGAATACCTTGTATTCGTGACTATATTCTCTCAGATACTCCCGTGAAGGGTAGCGTACTTCCCCATATGAGCCTCAATGAAAGATCTTGCAAAGTTCAATAATCAAGTCAATGAATCTTTGAACCTTCCCCTTATAAGTACGGGCTACGTATGCATATACTACTTCCTAATCTTCCTCATCTCCAGAAGTCTATTGTTGCAGGATATCGACCGGTAAGGAAGGAGCTTGAATTTAGAAAGTTACTCAAGCCAAACTGAGTCTATAATATGGCGACATTATAGTATCGGCTAAAACTATAAGGTTAACACACTATCTTTTGACTGAGACGGACCGCCGCGACAGCTAAAGTGCACACTGTAAGTTAAACAGACCTCCCTTCAGAATTTATTAATAGTAGCGATTATAAGTTTGTCGGGCCTATTTATTTCACCCAAAAATTTCCTTTTAATCGAGAAAATTTAGTCAGTGGGCGACATAACATATTTACAGATTGTGCATAGAGTTTTATCTAGGCGTGATTCAAACAGATGACCCTAAACACTCTATTGCAGTGCTAGGTACGAGTAGGTTATGGGCTCATCCCTACCGTGCTGGCTACAGGACCTCAGCCAAATAACAGCCTAAATCTGTCTAGAAGCTAGAAAGGGCAGAATTTACCTGTCACCAAAGGATTGCTTACTGAACGGGACTTTTGCCCCTCCTAAAGTTCTAGACGCGAAAAGCCCTTTATAGCAATTTTGGAGAAGCATTGACGTAACATGCACAAGGAGTTTGGAGGAAGTTGTAGCAAAGATAAGATTCTCAGTGTTTGGCTAAGACTATAAACAAGTCCAGTACGCCGAATTGCAGCTGGGTTATGAAACCGAGCGCAGGTGAATATCGTGAAATATTGACAAAAGAACTTTCACTAATATGTTCCTGGATCCTAGCCTTCCCTCTAGAAAAAAAAAATGATCCATGCCTCCTCCTGAACGTATTATTTGGAGGCCATGCTGCCAGAGGAGATTCCCGTATTCCGTGGTTTCATCCGATGAAAGTTCCCAGATGTTTCCATCGCCCATTTTCTCGCAGGCCTACTTTCAGTTAGTTTAATCCAATCATAAAAAAGCATTTCAACGTACTTCCTCATATGTAACCCTGCTCTGAAGTGAATACACATGAAAATCGCGAGACCAGATCAAGTTGATGCTTGATAGGGAGGCCAATTCTGGACGGATAATTGCCCGCATTTCCTCCATTCCCATAGAACCAGTATAGACCGGTGCCATACTGACCACTAAGTTGAATAATCCTCCACTTCCCCATAGCCCCAGTACCAGTATATGTTTGTATAAATCGGATAAGGTTCAGGGAGATATGTTGTATTGATGACTTGAGTTATTTGGAATAAGCTGCAAATTTGTATGGGAATAAAGCCTGGTGTACGAGACAATAATTTAACAGATTGAGCTGAGGATATGGTTTGAATATATATAGACGATTGGCAAAGGCTAATGTAATGCAAATCCACCCACAGATTGGCGGAGAGCTGATAAATATGCACAAATGAAGTAAACTGATGTTCCTACTTACAGAGGACTCCAGGTTCTTTTTTCAGTTCACCACCACTAACTATACTTATGATCTTATATGTGTGGGGAGTATACTTCGGCCATCTATACGTTCAACGCCACATCTTTGGCGATTCTTATAAATGAGATCGTAAATATGAGAGGAAATTGCCGGCTCCACATAATTAATGATTGGAACCAGATCGCTCAATTTTATAACGGCTTGAAGTGGGACCAGCAGCTCCGTACGTATTCATATACTATTAAGACCTCCACAATAGAGTTGTCTGTTCTCCTCAATGCCATCAGCTCGCTTATACTTTTTACCTAGTTAGAGTAACTGGCTAAGGGCGAGTCAATTATAACCAAAGCTTTAAGCCTAGGTTCTGTTATAATAGCCCGTTCTTTTTTGACTTTGGGCTGAAGATAGCCCGAATATCTATCTACATTGATGCAGCCACAGAATTTAATCATACAGAACATAAGTAGCTATCTCGAGCCAAGTTGGGTCTATGGTTTGGATGAGTCTAGCGCAAACAGCTGTTGGATCAAGACCCCAAAGTTCAACCAGTCATCAGTACTCCGTAGAGTGAGTTGGTTCGGGGCAGGCTCGGGTCCAGCCCAGCGGGGAACCCATACTGCTATGTGGAGTAGAAACAAGATCGTTGTAAAGAGTATAAGGAAGGACCACACATACCGCGTGCGGGGTTAGAGTCTAGTCGATTGCATCACCAGAGAGAGACATATGTCAGATTTGAATCAGCTACGTGTCTGACTGTCTACCTTCAACTATCAACTAAGTATGCTGTGACAAAATGACAAAACAAAAAGATAGGCCCGAACCCGGGATCGAACCGGGGACCTCGCGCAGTCAATGCTTTGGGTGAACCCTAAGCGCGAATCATACCACTAGACCATCCGGGCAGTTGATAGAATATATCTTGAAATTACGCCTATATCAAGGAAAAACAAAATTCCAACATCAGATAAAGTTAAAAGAAAGCAGGCGGCAGGCCTCGTTGTAGTGGAAACGGCGGAGTGTCGGAGTCACAAGGATGAGGGACAATATACGGAGTTGGCGCATACTCGATTGCATTACCAGAAAGCACATGTGTAATTTGTATCATCGAAGTCTATTTTAAACTAGAAATCAACATATTGTGAAGAAGTACTTTAAGGAAAGTCGTACGTAAAATATCAAGTAGCTTTTGCCCACCACTTTTTAACTTGCCCTAATTTCCCACTGCCCTTCCACTTATTCAACAAACCTCCCCTCATACCGCAAATCAACCGCCCTGAGGGCTATTCAACCTCCGATGTCGAGCAAGTCGCCATCCAGCTCCATATTTGGTCTCCACCCACAGCAAAGGAAACAGAGCCAAAGTGATACCAGCAAGTAAAATGAAGGTATACACGGGACCCAGCGCATCAATAATAGGCTGTACAGCCGCAACCCCCGCGGCACCAATCAGACACCGCATAAGATTATTCACAGCCGTGGCGCTAGCACTGGCACCCGGATATAGATCGATTACTAAGGCACTGTTAATCGTGAAGATGCCAGTTGAGCAATAGGCAATGATGTATTGGAGGATGATGGGGACCGCGAGATGAGTATGCAGCGAAACACCGTAGACTGCGACACACACGATGAAAAGGATTGTAATCCACCAAGTGTTGCGCATACGGGCGGTCTCGATCGGAAAGTCCGGGTGTGTTTTCAGGTTAACTCGCGTGCCGAGTGGGTAGTTATGTCTCTCGCAGTATTCGCGCTCGGTGACACGGTGGTTGTAGTCCATCAGGTAGCCGATTGTGTAAGATCCTGACATACATCCGAGGCCTGGTGCGTATATCGAGCATTAGCTGAGGTTCTTGTGTTGGCAGCTGTTGGAGACGAGAGTAACTGCCTTACCATTGCCCAGAAAAGTGAGACCAACCTGCAGGGTGGTCAAGTTATATGTTTCCTCAAACAGGTCAGAGGTACTGGACGTGACCATACTCCACACCGTGTAGACAATACTTCCGAAGAAAAGAGTAATAAATACATCAATCTCTGCCAGAAACTTGAGAGGCGCGAAGACAGTTCGAAGCGTGACCCTGGACTTTTTGAGCCCTGGCTCAGCCCCCTCCTCAGCCCCCGGCTGTCCAGTGATATAGTATAGCCATGGCTTCTGCAGGCCATGAAGAGGAACGGTCCCGTTACCGGCAATCGGTCGTAGGGTCTCAGGAAGTAATATTAGGATAGCGAGCAGACTCAGGCCGGCGCAAATCGTAAGGAACCAAAAGATCGATCGAAATCCGAGATACTGTGCGAGAAGACCACCAAAAACGGGACCGATACCTTGACCGAGCATGCGGACTTGTCTTACTGTCAGCTCTTGCATTCATGGAACCCTGGGGTAGTATGGAGCTTACCACCGCCGAAAATACCCACCAGGCTTCCTCGTTCCGCCGAGGTTGTGATGTCACCTATGACACCTGCTCCTGTAGATATGTTTTAGCGTAGCTGAAGATAAGCTTAGTTGATGAATGACGAACCGATTGAGATCGTAGCTGCGCTGCCGGCAGCCTGCAAGGCACGGAATGCCATAAGCTCACCGTAGTTAGTCGATACAGCAAGGGCAATATTGGCAACGATATAGACAATCATAGTCCCAATGAACACGGGTCGTCGGCCAGAGGTGTCTGATATGGAGCCCCAAAAGGTCGGTGCAATTCCCTGAACGATCATATAGATAGTGACGGTTAACGTTGTCAGGGTCATGCTTGTATGAAGGTCCTGATAATCAATCATTCAATTAGAGTTGGTAATAAAGTTGTGCAGAACAGGGTTAGCCTACTATTGAGATAGCCCCCAGGGCGGGAAAATAGATATTCGAAGACAATGGTGAAAAGATGGCTGCAACGGAGACAATCACCACCATTTCTAGCTTGCGAGATCGAGAGAAGATATGGTAGACCGGAGGTGATGGTCGCTGGGCTTCGAGAGAATCCTCCAAAACAGATGAAGGGTTAGAGCTACTATGCCTCGGAGATACCGCGACACTGGCTACCTCAGGGGCCTTGGTGTCACTGGGTTGGCCCATCTTCAGAAAGTGGATATATTATTTGCAAGGGGAATCAAAATGCGGACTGAGAATTCTTATGGAGAAAGAGACAAAATGATAACAAATTAAATTAATCTTGCACATTGCCAGTAGAAACTGTCCTTGAATGATTTGCTAGTTATGAAACGACGGCTAATACTGGGCATTTGGTGCCCTATATATGCCTTCACATCTATTCCTCACCATCCCACATTACTAACCCATCAAAAACTCGAGGAAGGCATCATCGATTGACGAACTAGACAGACCTCATCAACCAGCTCCACCGTCCTAGAGTAACAGATAGTGGAGATAGACGATAGATATGCAACCGCCATGATAAGAGTGATATGTCCAATAGCCGTTGGAGTCCATTCCATGTGATTTATGGTGACATAGGGACTCTTCTTAAGGCGCGGACAGGATTCCCGGTAATTCTGCAGATATGTTCGAGATCGGCATTGCCTTTGGCCTTGGATATGCCTGAACGTGAGGAAAAATCTGACCCACCGTAATCACAATTGCTGATCCTCTACTGCAACATGAAGCACCGTGGGCGAAAAGCAGGATGCAGTGGACAATGACCGGATATGATCGGCATAGAGCCGGGAAATAGGCTGAATGATGTGAAGTACAGAAAGCCAAAGCGATAACCAAACCAGCTAGAAGCATAGAAGGTCGGGCAGATCTATTGGCATTCTTCATAATCTGTATACTTGGGATCCGCAGTGACCTGACCGAAAGAACTAGAAGCCGGGCTAATCCGGGAGATCATCAGCCGCCACTAGCAAATGACAAAAACTTCCGGTTCGTTGAGATAACGATACGCAGAAGAGCTAGAAGATTACTGGGCTATATACAGACGCTGCAGTCCGTCTCGAAAACCTGAGACAAACCCTGCATGAAGGGTCCACTGCCAAGACTGGTCGTGCGTGCAGCAGCGGCTAGAAGTTTGAACAGTGAGAACAGTTCTCATGGCGAGATACTCGCACGTGCAAAGTGGTTAATAGTCACATAGTGTCGATCGTTCTTGGCCCGACGGAAGTCTCGTAGCCAAGATATGCTTGGGAGGAAGCCAAACGGAACCCCCACCCACACCAGAGACTACACGATTTACACCACAAATTGCATCACTCTTGCTTGATTTAAAAACACCGTATATTTATGAATCTCACGTTACTTCGACAAGAGAAATATATGCGGTGTTATAAGGTGAATAGCCCTTGACAGCACCTCCAGGATTGAATATCCAGTAGACCTATGTTACAGGCCTTGCATTATAGGTAGAAATATCCTGTTGTCAGATGTGTAGAGGGTAATTATTACTTAATAGACTACAGAGGAGTCCACTTAGTGAAAACCCACTCTAACTCTGCAACTACTCTACAGAAAGCCTGGTCTTTCTGAAACCTGGTAGACGCCGTAATACAACCCCCACCAAGGTTTTGTTATTCTAAGCCCTAAGCAACCCCAACCGAAGGCTATACATTGCACCAGAAAAAAGGGACATGAACCGATTCTATATTTTGCATCTATATTCTGCAGGTAGGGTATATGGAATTGATTTATAGAGGATATCCATTTATCTAAATACCGAATAGAAAGAAGGCTCGGTGATCGAACGATAGGTTATCGGAAGGGATATATCCCGTATCTTCCTGTGGTCTGGCCGAGTATCAACCACCCGGCGTTGCCGGGAATGTCCTCCGTAGGGGACCATCGGTCTCCGACTACCTGCTGATCCCGAGGTTAGAATTAGTACATAATAATATCCCGATTTACACACCCGAAAAAATAAAAAAGAAAAGAATAAAACATAAATATCACGACTATTATGAAGAGTTGTTAAGAAATCATATCCAGGTTGCTATCCACATGATGGCTGTGTTAAATATTAAAAAATCATTTTTGGCTTAGTATGTATTAAACTATATATAATCACTTACCAGTAAATTATTCTATCTTGGAATCCTAGTGGTTATTTAGAAATGTTGCTTGCGGACATTGATATCAGTCTGTAGGTTAGTTCGGGCCACTTCGTGGAAACGTTTGATGTGAAAGGGAATCCCAGACCTAAAAGGCCCTCGAAATGTTGCAAAGTTCTGTTACAACGTTAAGAAAAAGATGTACCTGAAGATTTCTCTTCATTATTGATTTTGATGAGCTTGCCACTTCTCTTATACGCTAGGCTGCTCCTAATCTTTATCTCCTTCGAGATCATCGTGCATTATATCCTGAGATCGCCAGGTTCCTAATATCATCCGGAAATAGCTCTATAAAATACCCTATAAAGAAGCCTTGGGCGTCAAAACATGTTTAGGCAGTCAAACGGGGTGTTTTCCTTTTTGATTAAGCCAAGCCGCCAAGTCTACTAGTCTCAAAAACAGGGAAATATACGGAGTGGTACCCTGTCTATATGGTAGATAGCGGGAGAATATCGCAAATAATTGATTCAGCTTTACTTTGTGGCCTTACCAAAGCTGAGAGACTGTGTCAACTGAAAATAATACCGCAGAATACCCTATAAAGACAACTCAGGTGCCCAGGGATTTTATGTAATCGAAGACTCGAAAGGGATGTTTTCCCATTTTAACACCCTTTTCCAAGAAACTGCGAAGATCCTGGGATATATTGGGCTGTAATAGACACTTAGAACGTGGGTTTCTTGACCCATATATAGTTTTTGATTAATTAGGCTAATATCCAAGTTGATAAGGGTATCACTGTAGTATTATAAGCATTGTCCCCATAGCCATACACAATGAGGCCACTGCAATACTCGTCAAGGCTCCAGGCACAACACCCCTAGCAGAGGACGACGCAGCTCCATTGGATGGAGAAGACGAAGATTGACCACCAGATGATGAGCCACCTTTCCCGGGAAGGTGGAACGGGGTGGCTGTCTGAGAGAAAACCCATCCGGTTGGTGCTGTCATCGTCGCTGGGGATAGTCCGCCGCCGGGCGCCTGCAAGCCAGTGGCTGTCTGGGTGACCTTTGCGGCATTACTGCCGGCCGTCTTCCAATTGGGTGGCGAGGAGCCGGCCTTGCCACCGATCTCAACAATGTTGGTATCCTCACTATTGTACCGCGTAGGGGCAATGGCGATTTGTTGCTGGTCCAAGTCATATACGACATATGCTGAGCGCAGGAAGGTATCGCCGAACAAGATCGGGGAATCGTCCGTGATTGGCACAACACCGAAGACACATGCGTCTTTGCCGTTAGATAGTTTCTGGTAGTAACCATTATCATCCAACCATGGGACAGCGAGTTCGAAAAATGGAACTCGGATCACAGGACCGCCGGGGCCGCCAAAACCATAGTCTAAAGTTCCTTTATAAGACCGCATTTGTTCACAGTCAACAGCGCCAAGGTCAGAACCTGGAACCTCAACCACTTGCGCAAATGCGGAGAGCTGTTGATATAATTCTTGGGGGACATAGGTGAGTGCCGTGCCGGAATCCAGAATGGCCGGTGCGATGAAATTCTCTGCCGTAAGGGATTGTGTGCCCTGCTTGGGGTCGGTGAGTGAGAGTGAGGTCCAGGCAACCGTCATAGAAGTGATACCGCCGGTCTGAGCGTCTGGCTGGATAGGCAGCGCGATCAAATCGCCGATAAATTTGCCCGTATCGTAACCACCGAACATAATACCGCCAAAATTGGCCTCTGTGGACAGGAGTTAGAAGTACGGCTATCGCAATTAGGGCTTTGCCTTTCTTTTCTTTTCTTTCGTTCTTTCTTTTTGTTTTTTTTTTTTACTCACCCACATCGTTTAGCCAGAGACTGTACGCCCGGGTGTTAATTAAATCTTGTTCGACCAGCATATCGATAATGTTCTTGTAAGGCTTTTGGCCCTGGCTGACGATCGACTCGCCCGCAGCGAACCCGATCCCCATAATACCCGTAAAAACATTTTGTGCTTGCCGGGCAACACCCATAGTAAGACCCTGGACAGTAATCGACCCAAAGCCAAAGTTGTCACCAACATAATCGCCTTTGACGCCCGAGCCCGGCGTGACATACTGAATGCTAAACCCGCCTTTACCGAGCATTTTGGATGTGGATGACAGCGTAGGATCATCTAGTGGGAAATTATCCTGGTCAATGTTCTGAGGCTGAGATGCAGGGAGCCGTTCGAAAGGGAAAACAGATTTAAGCCTGGGATATGACCACGAGTCATCAACTTACAAGCGTTACCAAGACAAGGGGACGTGTTTAAGTCACAGGACTGGGGCCCAAACATCCAGACATCACTGCTACCCGTGTCCACTTGCAGTTGGACTGGTTGAGGCGGAGTTCCGACGCTTGCATTCACCCAGTAGAGTCCTTTTCCATCCAATATGTCATTTCCCAGCAATGCACCTGCGTACTTTCTCTTTTCCAGAATGTGCCGTTCGCTTCGTGAGAGCGGAAGGGTGACAACTTTTGGTTCAGCCGCTACAAGGCTGAACAGGCCAAGAGCGAGCACCCAGAGCCGTCGAAGGCTTAACTCTGTCATCTCCAAGAGTATCGTCATGAAAAGAGGAGAAAAGGTCACAGGTCTATGTCACTTCAGGGTTCAATACCTGACTTTCTCGGTTTCGGTGGTCGTGGAAGAGCTCACGAGTGTTGACATAGTAAATAGTGAAATTGGCCCAGATATCACAGAAAGCTTAGCCTTGCTTGAATTCAGGGCAGCCCCTCCTCGTTCAGGTCTTCAAACAGAATACGAGTTTTAATCTTGGTGCTCGTGTTCCCATGCGCTGTGCACCAATGGATGAGACGATCGGCACCCCACTTATCACCTGTGGACGTGAAAGAGCCTATGGATCTTCATCAATATACGAGGATTTTCATATACTAACGGGATAGGTGCCAGGGAATATCCAATCACACCGGTATTATAGCCGTAGATCAAAATTAGGATCTATATATATTTGGGCCAACACACTCAAGCCATCTAATGCCGGTCTCTGCCGTAAGAATAGGATGCCTACTGGCAAGGCTTTGGAATTTATTGGTACAGTGCTTGTGGAGGCAAGATTCATGAACCTATTGTTGCCATTGCAGATTTACATTCCATAAAATCTTTAGTGTCCTTGTGTATGAACCATACTGCTGGAGTCTCTTGTGAGCTACAGGATAAATTCCTATGGATTGACAAAGTGCCATTAATCAACGAATAGCTATAGGCTCAAGGGAGGTTTGGAGTCTCTCTAAACAGGGATGAATGTTACTAGAAAGAGCTAAATTGGAAGTGTCTGTACTGCAAAACATGATGGGTGAGGCACGCAAGTGCTGAAAGTGCGGTAATTAGCTAATGCAATAGCAATACTGTCCAAACTATTTTAAGACCTATATATTTCCACGCTACATGTAACTATATCGCTAAGCTACATACTGTGAGATGTGCCCTGTGGAACAAAGCTAGTTGACGGTTGGCAGGCTATTGCTCAAACAAGAAAACGATCATGCAGCTAGGGCTATGAAGTCTAGAAAGCTATGCGTTTCCCACAGCTTCACCATACTGAAACAGTCAAACAAGAGGACAAATTGTAGTATATTGAAGTGTAAAAGAGCTTACTATCCAAATCTGGATAGATATTCGGCTTTCTAAAGAGATTGGGGTTCTCTGATGCTATAATTTGCTTTCTTACTAAAAAGCACGCTGGGTTAATGCTTATGTTCCCAATCTAGGGAAATGTACAGATTTGTTTTTATCTCATTTCCTGGGGTGCATATTACAGATATTATCTGAAATTCCCAAAAAATCCTTTCTGATCCTTAATTTCTTTCCTTTTGTTTACTGTTCCCCCTTTCGTAAGAAGAGTAACCGCTAGACCATACTTCACATTATACCACGTGACGAGGTCGTACAGGGGAAGGATTCGGAAGCGCATCAATATGAGCCGACACCCGGGTCAAAGACACATCAGCGGCAGTGATATTTGTTGTATAAGAGTCACGGAATATGAAGTTCATTGGGAATCCAATATCGAAAGAGGATGAACTGTCGATCTCAGCCAAGTCCTCGTCAGACAGACTCACACTCAATGCTTCCACGTTGGCCTTGAGATGCTCAACTTTCCGCTGACCGACAATGGGGAAAACGGAAGGTGTCTTATGCATCACGTAGGCTAGTGCCTATTAATTGCACATGTGCGGTTAGCCGGTATTTTCTATGGCTTTCATGTGAAATGAAGGAATTGGATAGATACTCACGATTGCATGAAGTGTAGTGTTTTTTCGTTTAGCGACTTGCTCCAATGCATCAGATACTTTGATATCGTCCTCGCTCAAATTAGAAGCTCGCCCACTGCCGTCTTCACTGGAGCCGCTACGGGCCTCCGACGACTTGAATTTGCCTTGACCGAGCGGTGCTCATGGTGCAATTGCCATTCCCTGATCCCGGCACATAGGGATGATCTCTCTTTCAAGATCCCTGAAGCCAGCATTCCATTTACCCTGGTACACAGAGAAAGGCCGCAGTCCGTGGACACGAGCGTATTCATTTGCATTTACAACCACCCAAGCTGGGGTATCAGAAACACCAAGATAGAGCACCTTGCCCGAATTGACCAAGTTGTTTAGTCCATGCATGACCTCTTCGACACTTGAGGTAAAGTCCCACCAATGGACGTACAGGAGGTCGATGTAATCGGCCTGGAGCTTGTTGAGGCTACGCTCCACCGAAACACGCATGCTTTTTATGGAATTGCCACGAAATTAGATTGAATTGGCTCGGTATCACGATGTGAGGTGCGGAAGCCAGTTGTGTACTTAGTTGCGATACTGAAGATTAGAAGTCAATGGAAAAACATACTTGGAGGACATTGGGCTACGGATTACATACACCATTTGATCCCGGTTACGGCGCTCTTTCATCCATTCTCCTATCCAGATCTCGGATTCCTCCTGCTGGTAGTTATTTGCCCTGTATAGCCATTGTGGTCAGTAGGGTCATACGTTGAAGGGTATGAATTGAACCTACGTGTCCAAGAAATTGCCGCCCAGTTTGTAGAAGGCATCCAGCAGTGCAAATGACTGCTCCTTGCTACATTCACCCATGAAATCCTTCCTATATTGGGAGACCACTGTTAAGCTCCCGACGTCACGGTGCGAATAAGGTGGCCATACCAGGTAGTTCCGAAGTTCATTGTTCCGAGGCAAAGGGGTGACACCTTTATACCTGCGGATGGTGCTAACACCCGGTGGTAGCCTAGAAAGCTGGCGGGCTTTGGTGCAGGGGCGAAGATAGACATGGTAATAGTCCGTAATAGAGAATTGGAAGAGAGTAGATGAAGAGTGATATCCTAGCTCAGAGGATTCTCAAAGGGGGAGGATCAGCCCTCTATATATGTCATTCTTGAACACAGTGGCAATAAAAGGAGTGTCTGACCGCACTAATGCTCCTGCTCCTGCTGACAGTGAACCAAACCAACCGTGGTGGACATTGTCGAAGATACTTTATGGCAGAGGATTAAAGCCTTGAAGTCAGCAACATGAAATACTGCGATCACAAACCCTGAACCCCACGGATTGGGTTAGGGAGATCTGCACAGTGATGACAACTCCGGTTTGATTGGTGGAACCAAGATCCCCATCCCACGGATCGCTTTAGTAACAACCGAAATATCTTATCAGTTATCTCTGCAGCCTGCACCCTGATGACACTTTTATTCTGATTGGAAGAGCCATTAAAGACTGGAGCTATAGACTGTTGACCAAATTCTAGACGAGGCGGACGATGACATGCGGCAAAAAGTGGTTCTTGCTCTGCTCGTTTTACTGTGTTGAGGGAGCCTGCTCGAGCAATATGTAAAGGATCACGACGAACCATGTAGATCATTAGAGTAAGAATAGGACAACTCTTTCAGGTCGAACATTTTGATCCTTCCGGCCAAACTTAACCTACCACATTTTTCACAAACATAATGGCACACCTTTGGGCCCCTGCTCCAGAACCGGCCAGGCTTCTCCAACTAGGTTACAAACTTCAGATTTCTCGACAACTTTGGAGTCCTTTCCGATCCCTACCGACAAACCTCTGATCGAGTTCCTCTTCGATCTGTTCCCATTGAAGCCTTCTGTGCACCAACTCACGGGGAAGCTTGTCTTCTGAATAAGGCCTGACTCATTGGCGGCTTGGGAATGAACGAGATGCTTCTGCCCTTGCCCTTGCCATTGTTGAGGGCCTCTCTCTGCGGCAAAACTTAGCGCACCCTACCATGGTGGACGCGGGCTGCTCTCTGCTGTGTCCATTTGACCGGAAGATTCTAAATGGGCTACACACAATAGCCTTAGTTGCAGGCTTGGGGACGCTGCATCTAGAGGATGCAACTAGAATCTGAGGACTTGTAAAATTGGCGCCGAAAATGACAGCTTATGGAGTCTGGAACAGCTGCCGTTCCACTCGTAGCTGACATCTCTCTCACAAGTACCCTTCAGGGCCAGCCTCCTGGGGACACCGTTCCAGATTTTGCCGATTTTTGTTTTTTTCGCGTCACAGCTCGTTTAATTCTATTATGCCGACGCACATTGTTGCGGACACTTATGAGTCTGCACCGCTGATAAGGATATGGTGACGCCAAAGGTTTATGGGAAACCCCTGTATATACCCTATCTATGTATCTCTGATGGGGGCTAGGCTCTATGGGGCAAGAACGGTCAGATGGTTCAGACCCGAAAAGGAGATATTGTGAGAGCTGAATCCACTACAGTAGAGATTGATCGATCTCTAGAGGCTGATGATGAACCGTGGCGTTGACACTTGATGCATAAATCCTCTCCTCTCGACCTGTGTTCTGTCTCCTGCCAGATCCTTCCCGGTTTGTTTGAGCTTGCAGTTTACAATTCTGAGCCTCACTGGCTGAATGATATTTGAGGTCTAGCTTGCACGGGATCAGAAAGGTGCGGACGTGAGAAGCGCCGGCGTCAATCTTTATTTCCTTTTCTGGCAACAGCTGCGTATATATTGTCTTATACGCAAGCACCATTGAGCCACATTTTTCGCATCCCGATGATTAAAACATATGTAGTATATCTAAGTAGAACCATATACACCACCTTGGCTCTGTTTACTATTATCAAAACGGTCGACATATGAAAAAGCGCTCTTGTCCCAATAATACATATCGACCAATGCCTAGCTACTGAAGAATTCTTTATCAAAACAGGCCACCGGCCACGCCACTTTGGTTTTAAGCAATGTGTAAAATAAAGGAATGCATCTTCCTTTGAAACATATTTAGATCTTATAGCTATAGTTTCTCACAGGAGTCCCTTTCAGAAAAATAGAAAGGTCTAACACCCGTACATGTCAATTATATCCCACCTGTGCATTGCCACCAATCATCACCATCGTATCATTTGTTCCTTCACAAACTTGATACTTCCATGGGAAAACTGATACATCCCGGGTCGGCACCACTCCCATAGATAGAGCGCAGACGTCTAGCCACCCCACGTCCGGTAGCACATCATAGGTAGCCTTCAATTCAACATAGAACTCTTCGATTGTGCTATATATAGGCGTTATAATAACCCCAGCGGAGGGGGGAATACCTGTATACGGTTGTCTTGCAAAGCGATAAGCCGACTGGTGCTGTAGCAGATTTTCCAAAAGGGTGAGGGTAGATTGTATCCCATCAAGGGCACCCTGAACGATATTCTTCGCAAACTGGGATGGAATAGACCCTAGGTAATGCTTCATAGTACGAGCATCAGGTTTCGAACCGTGTAGCACACCCAGAATATTTCTGATCTCACTTTGAATATCCCTTAGTCTATCTCGGCAGCGAATCGTCTCGCCCATTAGCCCTATGTCTTCCGACATGAGATACAGTGAGTATGTCCGGGCGGCCAGACCAGGAACTTTCACAACCTCAATGAACGCATTTTCATTTGCCTCCCGGAAGATGCTAGGGTTTTCAGAACTTCCTATGGACTGAACCACTGATATCCATTCATCTCTTTCCAGGAAGCATGCTTGACCAAGAGAAAGCGATGCACGGATAAGAAAGGGCCTGAATGTGAGAAGCAGTGTACGGCTAAACCCCGATTTATATGCTGCGGCAGGGACACTAGGCGACTGCATTATTTCGGCAATGCTGTTTGTAAGGGCCGCCCAGGAGCCTTGAGATATTTTCATCTCATAGAGCGCAAGCAGGATTCCCCCGGCGAGTATTTCATCCGAGACTGGGAGACAGCTTACTGCCCTTCTCATAGAAGTCAAAGCATAGGTATACATATCTATACTTTTGGTGATAAGCTGTTTGTCTCCCGTCTGACCTAGATGCAGAGTAGCCAAGGCGCGTCTTGCCGACTGGAGAAATGCCGGAGGAGGACGCGCTGGATGAAGGGTGAATTCGACCCAACCCAGGTTCACTAGTGGTCTGTAGCAGGCCCGTAGCTTTGAAAAATTGCCCTCGACACACCGAGAGAAGATTTCCAGCTCTTGAATACGAGTCGACTGTGTTGCAAGGTTTGGCATTACTCGGGTATCCATAAGTGTAGATTTGACATCTGACCACCCTGGACGATAGGTTCTCACACCTCTATTTCCACGGTGTGATTCTTTGCTGTTCCACGTATGCACGTTGTAGAAGGGGAATCTTTCCGGATAGCCTGGGCAAGTCATGTTCCGTCTCACGCATTCCCGGCATGCAGGCCTTGCCTCATCACACTATAGGATTGATTAGTAAAACGAGGGCCCTCTCTTGGGGTGGAGGTGTCTCTGTTACCTTGACCCTCCTCTGGATGCATTTCTGACACCCCTTGCTACGAGGAATACCGGGCATGTTTTTCGTAGAGGGATAACGTTGTCTTGTCCCTGGCTATAGCTCGGGCCGAACCGAATGACCATCTGCCTAGCGTACGTGGTATTTCGGTGATTTCGGGGTGAGAGTGGAGAGGGATTTATTTCCGGGGTATCAAGCGGGGTTGGCCTTACTAATAATACTTCGAGCCTTGCAAATCGAATAACTTCTTAACTACCCCCTATTCAGGATTATTGAATTGCACAGAGCCAGCTTCTGGAGCTGATTTCTTTCTCGACTCTATGTACTTACTAGACGCATGGTTTCTTTTTCCAATATTGTCGACTTGAGGCTGTTGTCGTCGTCTAGGTCGACCACATGAGCTAGGTTTAGGAAACCTTCTCTAACAACACTTGGATGGTGAGTGGCCCATAGAGGACCGAATGATAGCCTCACGCGCTAACGATGTTGGGAAATATGGCCCATTACCGTAAGCATACCGGATCTCTACAGCTTTACAGAATATTGAATTCTCAAGGAGCATAGCCACTTACCCCATTGGGAAGTATCACGCATTACCGTAAGTTACCGGTGGGGGCTAAAGGATGAATCACCTGCAGTGGGAGGAAAAGTGGCTGGCATACTAAGTATGAGGGCACGGACCTCATCTGTCGATCTCTTATCACAAAGGGTCCGGGGCATTGTATTAGATGGGTGTGTGGGTGATGTGCGTGGGATGAATAGAGTAATATTCGCTACATAGTGTTAGTAATGAAGAAAATGAAGAAATAACCGAAACAACCGAAATATAGAAGCATAGCAAGCAATATTCTGTATCCCCTCCACATCACTCGTTTAAACATGTGGAAATATACTCGTCCAACGCGGTTGTTGATAAGCTCCCGATGGTAAACTCCGCAGGCTGATAAACGCCTCAATCGTCAGGAAGAGAATGCAGGCCACATACAAGATCATCGCGATAATGCTGATGCCCAGGAGGACATACCGAAGCCAGATGGGAACCTTCCTGTTGGATGAGTTGTCATGCACGCTCTCACGGCACAGTTCCCACATCATCGAACAACTTCGCAACATCATCCTGAGCCTGGATCGTTTCTCAAATCTCATACGGTACCACATCTTGATGAAGAAACTGTCGAACTCTTCATTCCAGGACATGACGAAATAAACTATGGCGGGGAACGCCCCTAGCCCAATCCCGGATATGCGCCAGATGATGCGTTCCGCCGGGGTGGGAAAGTAGTTGTTCCACACAGACAGGTGAAGACCACCGTTGACAATGGCTAGTATTGAGGCCCAGAACTCAATCGGCCGTCGAAGATATTTTAAGACACTGTACGCCGCGCGAAAGAAAATATAGACCCATCCATTGTGTTCGTAGTATTCTGTGAAGAACGGAAGGTCACGCTCATAGTTTGTTGTCGGCTGGGTGAGATCATGTCCCATCAGGTCATCGCTGTCAAGCGGCAGTGGGATGGGGCGGT